ATCATAGTTTGATAAGCATTCTAACTGGTAACGGTTCCATGAGAGGACTGAACATACATAGTTAGTAATATGGAATGTATTGCCATATATGCATACATACGTTCGTATTTAGTTAAGAGCGATTTAGTAGCTGCGGTCTGCTCAGTTGGCGTCCATTTGAATTATGCATTAAACAATTCAATTAAAAAGAAACCAAGACGCCTGCCACTACGCAGAGCCGCCAGCCGGGCTGGATCTGGTAACCTTGACTCGCCAATGGCAATGGAACAGAGGAAACAGAAGAAGAAGAAGAAACAAACAACAAAGAAATAATGAAAAAGCAAATCGAAGAAAAGCTTGCGTAAATCGTAAACTAGACAATGTGTGTACCTAGCGTAGGGTGTATCGTTGGCCTCGCCGGGAACGAAGGGTTGGTGTAGGGGTGGGTCTGGATGTGGGTGCGTGCTGTTAGCTACACCTGCGACGCACACTCTTGACCCTGAACAACATAAAACAGCTGATGACAGGCAAACACAAAGCACGCGTGGGTGCGAGCGAGACGACGACTAACACACAGCGCAGAATGCGAGGCGAAAGAGCAGGACAACTTATGGCACAATGAGAAAGAGTGGGAGAGGGAGAATGCCACGTGAGGAGGGATGACAAACATGAGGATTGTGCCTTGCCTTTGGTCGTGCTCCTTTAATTTGCTGTTAGCTTCAACCCCGCCGCGCTCTACAGGCGTCCCATGCCATTTGACCGCGCCATATTGTAAATGGAAGCTGGACCCAAACATATGTTTGCCACCCATTGGAAACAGAATTATACACGCACACACACACACACACACACGAGCACACTCATGGGGGAACTGGGGAGGCTAGATGCGTTCAGACAATCGCAACTTTGAAGCATTGCCGGCAAATCAGGCTGACTCCAACTATTTTTTCAACTTACTTGATCCCTATCTAAAATTCTGTAGCTAAATAGGACTATCTGTCAGAGAAGGATCAGAGGTTAAGGCAGACAAGTTGGCTGAAGGATTCAGTAATGGAAAGCAATAAACCAACTTAATATATTTATGGCAATTCAAGGATTGCGCTCCTGTTACTCATACTTTAGAAAAACAGAAGAAACCTTAAACCTTAAATCTTTTCAAACCATTTTCAAAAATTTTTTTAAATATTTTTTTAGTATTCCTCCTATTTTTACTAAATGATTTTTATTTAATGCTCCCCATACTAATTCCAAAAAATCTATGTGAAATTGATTTTGCAATGTGCTTCAGCGATTTTACCTAACCCGCAAGCGAAATTTTAACTTTCTCCTGTGATTTTTTTGTTGTACATACAAAAACGGTGGAAAAGCTCTTAGTTGAAATTTTATATAAAACATTTGGCCTGTTCGAAGGCGGCTATTATTTTCAGCTTGTGTTTTTTGTAAAATAATCTGAACGCAGACAGGCGAGCAGCGCAAATGCATGTGCCGCTCTGCGAACTAGTCATTAAAAACCGATATTTACTCAATTAGCGCGACAAAGGCAGCGGCCGGGAACGCAGTTAGTCCTCAGACTGGCAGGGACAGCCGGACAGACAGTGCGGAGCTGCGTTCAACAGGCCACGCGCCACAACACGCCAGCTCGTGGAAGTGATGAATGCAAATTTACCCGGGTGGCCCTGAACTTTTGCTTTATACTTTGGCTCCGCAGCGAACTAAACGTCAGGTGCGTTATTTAATTGGCCGCAACATTAAGCGGCCAGGTAATGGGGGTGGGCGTCGGTGCAGGCGCACGTGCGCCGGCATGGCTTGTCAGATAAAGCATCCTGTTCAAAGTGCATTTAAGCAATCGATGCCAATTAGTGGCCAATTTGCATTTTGAATTGCGAGAACGACTAAGTAGCGGATTGCAGGCTCCAATAACTGGCAGGTAAATGCAGGCACACAAACAAGTAGGCGGATTAAAGAGCACTTAGTATGTCATTATTATACTGCCTTTAAGAAAAGAAGCTATAAAGGGGGACCCAAGAGGACACGTCTATCTCAACGAGAGCGCACAGTACAGGCAGACCATCTTTTTATATATGTTTATTAAACATTATATGGGATCTTATTTAAGGAATAGACTGCTCGATGAGAAAACAAATAAATATAATTCGAAAACCGCGTACTTCGTGCCACCTTTAAGGCATTCTTTAATTAGTTGTCTGTATGGTAATAACAAATGTGAGCTCATTTACGATAATAAAGATAATTCGGTTCTTCAGATTCATGTTCTTACTTATCGCCAAGCTAGCGCTTATATTCATCGCTGTCACTCTAATGTGCTTACAACTGGGACACATTAAGTAGTAAGGAGGTACGAACACATTCTTTGTGAATGTCCAGCTTAGTTCTGGGAAAGGAGGCAGTAATCAGAGGTAATGAGTCTGCAACGCCTGCCCGGATTAGGACCGCCTCGACAAAAGACCTGTTTACCTTCATTAGGCAAATGGAGTTGCTTTTGTCCTCGTAGGGAGCTTTTGTACCAAAAGACCTTTTTAGGGTCGTAGTGCCCCCACCTCTTCCCTATTGTGTGACTGCCTTTTGTTTAAAAACTAAGGATTGTAATATATTAACGCCGGTAGGAAATGCAACATTAAACGGTAATAGTAATATTTAATTTTTAAGCATGTTTTCTACATGGTGAAAAAATGCCGCGAAACTCTCGCCTTGCAAGTTATGAAGAAAAGCTATATTAAAAAAACGCCAAGCTCTTTATAATGAAACTTTTTACATCCCAATAATATTAATTAATTTATGTATTCCGTTAGCATATCAATAATCCGTTAATTCAATGAATGTGTAGTTACTTTTTCCCATGCCCACAAAAGTATGCTACACAAAAACCCACCCAGTATCAATACGGCATGGGAATTGAAGTTCCGAGCCCTGACTACATATCATGCTAACACATATACATACACACACGTATACACACAAGCACACGCATACACTCACACACACACAAACACAGACAGACAGACAGACAGCCCACAAGAATTACAAAAGTTCTGTTCTAAAAGTTTCGATAAACTCCGCATTTGTCTTGCAGAACGTAAAATTATTTCATTTTCTCACCTTCAGCTGCGACGCTTTCTAATCATCGAGAGCACGCACAGACACGCACACACATAAATACATACATAAGTTTCTTGTTTTGTTTAGACATACATACAGAGTTACGTATTATACATACATATGTAATTGCCATAGCTATCTCTCTTGTTGTCATTGTTGTTGTTCTTTCTGCTGTTGCGGCTTGGGACGCAGGGAAAAACCTGAAAAACTTTTTCGCACTCACCGCTGGTGGCATCGCTGTTGGCATTGGAGGCGCCACCGCCGCTGAAACTGTGTAGCATATTCATTTTTGGACGGTCGTGGTACGTGCCTCGCTGTGAAGCAGGCTCCCGACTGCTGCTGCTGCTTGCTGCTATTTGCTGCTGTTTTTGTTGTTCTGTTCCGTTTGCTCTTCACTTTCTGGAATATATGTGTATGGCTGTATTCGTGTTATTCTTTGGGCAAATATTTTCAGTTTCAGTTTTGTTTATGCGTCGTCGTTGTTAGTTTCTCTTCTCGCTTTATCATTCGCGCTGCGATATGCGTTCTCCTTCTCTCTCTCTCTCTTTTGATACACTCTCTCAATTGCGTTCTTTCGTTGTCCCAGCTGCTGTTGTTTTTTTTATGTATATATATATTTATATATATATAATTGTTGTATTTATGGTTATATTAATATATTAGATTTATTATGCAGAAAAACAAGTTGTATAAAAATTTATGTTCGTTGTATTTGAATTCGTCCAAGACTTCATGTTATTTGTTTGGCTGTGGTATAAAGTTGTACTACGCACACACACACACGGAGGCGCACGCATGCAAATACATGTATGTATGCATATACATACATATGTTGCTGTTGCTCTGCTAGCTGCCGTTACTTTAGTTGTTTTTGTTGGTGTTGTTATTGCAAAAGCGTTGTCAACCATGAATTACGCATTTTGGCATATGTGCATATATGCATGTGTGTGTACATATGTATTTGTGTATTTACATATGTATGTGCACATAGACAACACTTAACTCTGATGCTTTACATTTCAACTGTTTGCGCGTTGTCGCTGTTATTGTCGCTCTTCAATTTGTTGTTGCCACAATTAACGGGCGAATATTTTGCTGGCGGCCCGTTATGCACAGTCCTTTGTGTTGCATACTTTCTTGGGCTCTCACACCATTTTGCCTCCACACTGTGTGCATGCGTTTGTGTGTGTGTGTGTGTGTGTGCCCGCTTCCGCCTGTTTGCTGTTCTCGTCCGTTTCCCAGCAGCTCCGTTTGTGTACTAACGGCACCTTATTGACATTCACGACGCCAAGCCGCTGCTGTTGTCGCTGCCAGGCATCCCACAGGCACCGTATATCGATAAGTGTCGATACATACATATATCTAAAGTGGCGGCTTAGTGCTGAATAACGCGGCTTTTGAATAATTCAAAATATTTTTAATTTTAGACAAATCTCGAAGATTTTTAAGATCTCATTAATATTTTTGTATGTTTTTACTCTGGGATATATTTGCAATTTACTATACTTTACTTCTTGAATGTAACTTCCATATCCTTGTAAAGCTATTAATATTTTTTTCCGTGCTTTAATAACTCATCGTTTGTAATGGTAATCAACTTGAATAGATTAGTATCGAAGTTTTAAAATGCTCTATCGAAATAACTAAAATCACAGACGAGAGCGAGTAAGTGAAAGGGCGCAATGAGAGTGAGTGAGGAGATTGACAGAAATAGAGACAGAAAGACCAGGTGAAAGGGAAAAGGAGGGAGAAAGTAAATAAACTTATAGAAGAAAGAGAAATATACAGTGTGCAAGAGAGAAAAATGACTTGTATTACTTGTATTGTTTATACAAGTCGCGGCGACCCGAATGTAGCACTCTTGTTGAGATTATTTATATCAAGACTCGAATAACAGTAGACAGTTTTCATGAAAAATTCGAATATATTTCAAAGAAAACAATCCTAATGTAAACAAGATACATTTCCTACCGATAAAATATCCACATTTCAGTATAACTTATAGTTATATAATGCTGGCAAGCTAACAGGCGGTATACAATTACTTTTGTACTTTAACATGTCTTTTGGAATGTATGTATATGATGTAGATTTCAAATAATAATATAATTTAAATAACTAACAAATTCAAATGACTAACTAACAACAATGGCATCTCCACAAGCCAATTGCTGCTTCTGTTTGCCATCCGATTCACTGGGTACACGCGAAATGTAGATGCCGAACCTCATCTTGCCGCTCTGCATGCGGGCGATGGTCGTGAGCGTCTCTGGAGAACGCTCGCCGGTGCGCTGGTTGATGCAGATCATGTCACAGCGCTGACAGGGTCCATCCACCTGGAAGAGGATATCGCCAATACGCAGCTGCGCGTACGCCAGCTCTTCGAATGGCATGCCAGTGTCAATGACAATGTTGGCACGGAATCGATCGACAGTCTCGTCCAGCGCCTCCTCGAACTGCAGTGAACGCACCGAGGCGCGATTGACGAGCAGAAACTGAGCTTGATTGACCAAACTGAGTTGCTGCTGCTGCGAGCCCGGTGCGCTGCGCTGCGCCGATTGGCGCAGCAGGCGAAGCCCATCCAGTCCGAGCTGCTGGCTTAGCCAAGTGGCCACCTCATCACCGCAATCGTACCCCTCAATGGGCTGACGGCAGACCTTGCTGCGACAGCGTGCCGAGTTGGCGGCCTGAACGCTCAGCGAGAGGGGCACGGAGCAAAAGGACTCTGAATCCGCGCCACAGAAGTGCAGCTGCAGTTGATCCGCAACGAGGCGTGGCTGTATCAGGCAGAGATCCGTGCAGCGTTTTTGGGTTAGCGCCATGCCATTAATGTCCACAATCATCCACTCGCGATCGTACTGCAGTCCCTGATCAGTTAAGGGCCAACAACCGGCGTCCTGCTCGATCTTGAAAGCGGCACATGACTTGACCGGGTAAATGGCCAACTGCAGCAAACGTGGCCGCAAACGCTGTGCCCGCTGTTGCAGCACCTTGGGTAGCAGCTCCGCCTGCTGCTCAATGAAGCTGAAACGCTGCTGCGGCTTGCTGTGTATATAGCTGGCGCGCAGCATCTGCAGCAAGCGCTCAACATCTTGTAGACGTGTCATGTAGCCAAAGGAGACGCGTACCGCACCCGTCGGCTGTCCATCCAGCAGATCATAGTAATCGCCGCAGATACGGCCGGCGCGCTTATAAATGGCATCCATTGTATCCTCTTTCAGTTGCAAAAAGTGCTGGCAGGCACCCAAATTGCAGAAGCAGCCCGTGCGCAACAGTATGCGATGCAGTGCAGCCACGCAAGCCACCTCACCGAAGCCCACATAATCGCTAGCGTCGGTGCGCACGTTGAAGGCCACAATGCCGCCCTGCTTGGCGCGATCACCATAGCCCGCATGGTTGTACAGCGTGACGAGCGGTGCGCCGTTGGGATGCTGCAGCTGCTTCAGCTGCTGCTCACAGTAGCGCGCCAAGCCATGCACATGCCGTGAAATGCGCTCCATACTGCGGCCGGGCACCAGGCGCTCCAGCGTACGAAAGCCTTGCAGCAGCTCTACAATGGAGAGAAAGGGTAGCGTTCCATCTTCGAAACGTTCGTGAAATGTGCTGCGCAACTGATGCTCCATGGTATGTGGATAAGCGTAGTTGATGGTGCCGCCGCCATAAAAACGCTTGCGCAGCACATCCGCACCGCGCTGACTTACCAACAAGGCACCCACGCCCGTCGGATAGCCAAAGATCTTGTAAAAGCTAAGGCACACAAAGTCCGGTCGATGGCGTTGCAAATCGAGCGGGCTGCTGGCGGCAAAGGAGGCGGCATCCAGGCACACATAATAATTGTTGTTGTTGGTGTTATTCACGCGTTCCCCTGCCGGTTCTGTCCAGATGCACTTGCCCAGCTGCTGCATGCCACCACTCTGTATCTTTTCGATGACAGTCAGCGGCAGCTTGTAGCCACTGAAATTGCACTGAGCCGAGAACACGACCAGCGAGTTGCCATGTGCTGCTCCGGTCGCTGAAGCTGGAGCTGGAGCTACTGGCTGCTCCACATCGTTAAGCACAATGCTGTCTTTGTTTAGTACATAGATGCGCTTGGCCTTTACCAGCTGACGCATGCCCAGCACCGAGGTATGATTCTCCTGGCAGTAGTGAAAGTTTCCATCTTTGCCAAAGTCAAAATGTTCGGCCACCAGACGCAGTGCAGCCGTCGCGTTCGCTGTGAAAACTACGTGATAGTCATCGGCGTTGGTATTGAAAAACTCCAAGATTCTGCATGAGCATATCAATAGCTTAATAAATAGTATGCCCTTTAAAAATAACCTTACCTGTAGCGCACCTGATCCACATAGTCGCCGGTGGCGCGGCAGGTGTGCGGATTGCAGATTACATCGCGTTGCAGTTGTTGGGCCGCAGCTGACACTTGGCTTTCGGCATAGAGGGTTGTGCCCGCATGGTCGAGGTAGGTGCTATCTGGTTGAGTGCATGACGTAGATTTCAATTAGATTCTTATCAGTTGCATTGGTTCCTATTTCACCACATACCCGCAAGTCTGGAAAACTCTTTATCGATCAGCGCCTGCTCTGCAGCACTGAACTCCGCCGTGTACTCGCTCATTATTGCGCATTGGTTAATAGCTTCAGCGGTATTTATGGCCGGCCACAACTTGAAAAGCAACCGGTAATTATTTATCAACAAGATGTCGCACGACTCCGATATCACATATACATATCGATGTATTACACATCGATACATTACAACATTGTCACATGTTTGTGCAGTAGAGGTTGTCACTATGTAGTATCACTAACCAAATAACATATAGACCGGACAAACCGTACTTTTGAGGGTGACATTCGATATTTCTGCGGCTGGTCCAAACTCGCCTTCGTTTTTGTTCGGGTTCGAGACATGCCCGCATGCTCTCAGAAGCAAGAGAGTAAGAATACATATGGCCTGTGTCGGGGAACGGCAACGCTGTCTTTTTACTCGCTCACTCTACAAGAAACTGCTGTGGCTTACTCTCATCCATATGATTTGTGCGATAGACCGGCATCGCTGTTTTTTATCTCGCTCCCACTACAGGAAACTGCTCTAGCTTACTCTCAATGCTCTTTCAATTTGTCTATGTACCGTTTAAATGTTTGTGTGTGTATTTGTCCGCACAAGCAAAAATGCCGAGAAATTCAATTTTTCTCAAAAGTCGGTGGCATATCTTCCCTTTTGACGGGACGAGTAATATGAAATAATGAAAGGGTTTGCCAAGTCGATGCGAAATTCTTTCTTTTTAGCTCGTTCTTTTTCGAAAGGGTACCTAAGCGTTGGCATGTGTGCATTTAAAAGTTTTTGGACTTGCTATTCACGCATACTAACATATTTTGTATATGAATAGAAGCATTTATGCGCATGTGTGCCTGTTGGTCCCTGCCTGCCTGTCCGATCCAAATTTGACAATATTTTTGGACTTCTGAATTTCGAGCTCTACACACACACACAGAGACACAAATGTGTGTGAATGGGCTGATCATGGGCGCAAAATTTAAAAATATCATTATTGGCACGCGTCTGACGCGCGCTCTTCTTTTTATGATTTAGGGCTTGAATTGATGAATGAATGTTGACCCCTTATTAATTGCAGCAGCCCGTTGGGCCGAAAGGGTCAACTTTTGGCAAACACCTGCACCTGCATATGTAGGTCAAGTGACTGATCACTTAACTAATTTTAGGAGCAATTATATATTGATAGTATTAATAATTTTATTGTCTTAAAATATTTAGCTTTTTCATATATGAATTTGATCTACAGGTAATGAGGGGTCAACATTCATTCATCAATTCAAGCCCTAAATCATAAAAAGAAGAGCGCGCGTCAGACGCGTGCCAATAATGATATTTTTAAATTTTGCGCCCATGATCAGCCCATTCACACACATTTGTGTCTCTGTGTGTGTGTGTGTAGAGCTCGAAATTCAGAAGTCCAAAAATATTGTCAAATTTGGATCGGACAGGCAGGCAGGGACCAACAGGCACACATGCGCATAAATGCTTCTATTCATATACAAAATATGTTAGTATGCGTGAATAGCAAGTCCAAAAACTTTTAAATGCACACATGCCAACGCTTAGGTACCCTTTCGAAAAAGAACGAGCTAAAAAGAAAGAATTTCGCATCGACTTGGCAAACCCTTTCATTATTTCATATTACTCGTCCCGTCAAAAGGGAAGATATGCCACCGACTTTTGAGAAAAATTGAATTTCTCGGCATTTTTGCTTGTGCGGACAAATACACACACAAACATTTAAACGGTACATAGACAAATTGAAAGAGCATTGAGAGTAAGCTAGAGCAGTTTCCTGTAGTGGGAGCGAGATAAAAAACAGCGATGCCGGTCTATCGCACAAATCATATGGATGAGAGTAAGCCACAGCAGTTTCTTGTAGAGTGAGCGAGTAAAAAGACAGCGTTGCCGTTCCCCGACACAGGCCATATGTATTCTTACTCTCTTGCTTCTGAGAGCATGCGGGCATGTCTCGAACCCGAACAAAAACGAAGGCGAGTTTGGACCAGCCGCAGAAATATCGAATGTCACCCTCAAAAGTACGGTTTGTCCAGTCTATATGTTATTTGGTTAGTGGTAGTATTAAATAAAAACCAAAAACAACTGCAATCCATGCATCTAATACGTGAATGGTATAAATGTAGCACCCAATGTGCCGCAAGTGTTTTTTATATAAATGAAGGTCCCCATAAACAGTCCCATTTGTTTTTAATTTGCGTAAATTTACAGCGTCACGATATCAGCTTCGTACATATTTTGAATATTAATATATTTGTTGCCGCTCAATGGTGAGTGTTGGTTATTGAACACATAACATGCTTGCATAGTGTAATCGATAGTATCGATAAGAAGCAGCTGCTGCTTTCTCATCATCACAAAGACCACCGCAATCTAAACACCATAAGTATTGCTTTTTTGTAGTTTATTGCAAACGTTTAACATTTTGGTGCCCAATTATGCCCAAGGAAAAATCGCGACGTCGCAGTCGCAGTCGTAGCAAGGACAGGAAAAGCTCGCGGGCTCACAGTTCTAAACACAAGCACAAACGTAGCCAAGACAAGCATCAGGACACATCCACAAGTGGGCTAGAACGTGGGCGGGAGAAGGAACGGGAACAAGAGCGAGATAGGAATTACCACAAGCGAAGAGAGCACCGCAGCAGAAGTCGCGATCGAAGCAGCAGGCGGCATAAAGAGCAGAAGCAGCCAAGACGCAAAGAGCATCGGACACGGTCTTCCTCATCCTCAAGCTCGTCCACGTCCACATCAGATTCGTCGTCCTCGTCAGAGCCTAAGCAGCGGGCTCGCGCTGCAAGCGAAAGGGCAGGAGGTAAACGCAGTCCCGAAATGAATTCAATAAAGCTGCTGCAAACGCTGGAGGAGCGCCGCTTGAGGGAGCAGCAGGAGCGCCAGCGCTTAAAGGAGCAGCTGAAGGCCAAGGAGACGCCCGAGGAGAAGCGTGCACGTCGTCTGCGCGAAAAGCAGGCCAAAGAGCAGCGACGACGCCAGCGCATGGGCTGGGACAACGAGTACCAAACGTATTCCAACGAGGACAATCCATTCGGTGACTCTAACCTGACCTCCACCTTCCACTGGGGCAAAAAACTCGAGGTCGAGGGTCTGTCCAATCTATCCAGCAAGACAGTAGAAGTGCTGTCGCTGCAGAAGCAGATGGAGAATCGTCGCGAACTGGAGAAGGTCAAAAAGCTGCGCCAAGAGCGCGAACTGGAGCGGCAGTCGCGCGAGGACGACGCCATGCAACAGCAGCGTGCCAAGGAAGCGGTTCAATTCCGCGAGTGGCAGCGTCATGAGGATCAGTTCCATCTTGAGCAGGCGCGTCTGCGCAGCGAGATTCGCATACGCGACGGACGTGCTAAACCAATCGATCTGTTGGCCCAGTACGTATCCGCTACCAACACAGAGACTGAATTGGAGGATGCCCTGGAGATGCAAATGCACGAGCCATACATGCTGCTGCACGGTCTGAACATAGACGAGCTGGAGGATCTGCTAGTCGACATCAAGGTGTACGAGGAGCTGGAGCAGGGCAAGCACATGGACTTCTGGAACGATATGGTCACCATTGTGCAGGATGAGCTACAGAAGCAGCACAAGATTCAGCAGAGCGAGGCGAATTCGTTGAACCAGCGTCGCGATGGCATACACCAGAGCGTTGTCAAGGATGTGGCGGACATCTTTCGCGGAAAGAACGCCAAACAGCTGGAGGAGATGCGCGCCCGCATCGAGGCGAAGATAAGCGGTCGTGCCGATGGCGTTGACATCAGCTATTGGGAGAGCCTACTCTCGCAGCTGAAGGCGCACATGGCACGTGCCCGTCTGCGGGATTGCCACCAGGCGCTGCTGCGCGAGAAGCTGCAGCTTTTGAAGCGCGAGAACGACCCACCAAATGTCGTTGAGATAGTCTCACCATCAGCCTCGTTGTCTTTAAAGCAAGAGTCGGACCAAGAGGAGGAGGTGGAAGAGGATGGCCAGCAACAGGAGACGTCAGAGGCGGATGAGCACAACTTTGATAGCCCGCTCAGGGAGCTGGAGAACTCGTGCCAAATTTACAAACAGCTCAACTATAGTCCCGTCTATATACCCGAGGAGGAGTTCAGTGGACGCCGTCTGACCGCAGCCGATGAGGACAACATCGATGGCGGCCTGTACGCGGACAGCGATGATGAGCGGCGCGTGCAGCGCCAGCGTTTGCTGTTCGTGCATCCGGAGCGCGTAGACCTGGCACTGCTGACGCCGCAAGAGCTACGCATGCGCGGCGAGGCGCGCAAGGGCATGCAGGGCGACGAGGCTGAGTTCAGTGTGGAGACCACACTGGATGCAGTGCCGCAGCTTGCCACCGATAAGTATCGGCCGCGCAAGCCGCGCTACTTTAATCGCGTGCATACGGGCTTTGAGTGGAACAAATACAATCAGACGCATTACGATATGGACAATCCGCCACCAAAGATTGTGCAGGGCTACAAGTTTAACATATTCTATCCGGATCTCATGGACAAATCGCAGACGCCGCAATACTTTCTCACCCCCTGTGCGGACAATGCTGACTTTGCGGTGCTCCGCTTCCACACGGGTCCACCCTACGAAGACATCGCCTTCAAGATCGTCAACCGCGAGTGGGAGTTCAGCTACAAGCGCGGTTTCCGTTGCCAGTTCCACAACAACATCTTTCAGCTGTGGTTCCACTTCAAGCGATATCGCTATAGACGCTAAACCATCTTTATTGAGTTGTCCTTCAGCTGATTATTTTTATAATAAAATAAACATATATGTCTCTAAAAATTAATTTGCTCCGCATTCTTCTCAAGCTACATCACTGTGCAATCCTTGATGGGCGCCGCCTGCACTGATTCGAGTGGCTCGCCGCGCTCCGCCCGCTGCACCTGGTCGAGCACGCTCTGATGCTGCGGAAAGGCCAAGCTGGCCAGCTTGGAGTGCACCAGCTGATCGTCTATGGTCACCTCAAAGGAGCCGCGTCGTCCCTGACGGCAGGACACCTGCACGCCCGGCGCCGCATCCACCAGAAACTGCCGCAGCAGCTGGCACTGCAGCGAAAAGTTACAGGCTCCACTGTGAAAATGTGGAAAACGTGGATTAAGTACACATACAGGCCATATAAGGGGTCTGATCCTGCGCTAACCAGTATTCTACGTCCACATTGACCATTGCATAAATGCACCAAACATATGTGAAGGACAACAAATTACAAATTATGGGTATTCCGCCAACTGATAAAAAGAATTGGTGTACAGGCAATACTGTAAATTTCGCAATATGAAGGTTTTACTTTGTTGCTACAATTTCATATACAAAATAATGACAAATGACTTTTCTCTATTTGTACTAAACGCTAATAAGAACGCTTTAAATTCTTATTTGTATTGTATAAAATACGATATTTGAAAAGTTTAATATTTTGCAATAACAATTTTATGAATTCTTTAAAACAACAAGAAAAATTTCCAAAATAAGAATTTTGATTGGAAACGCATGGGAGATTAATTCTTATATAATTTTAATCTACATGCTTTGAAATCTGTTCTTGCACTAATATTCAGTAGTTCGTACTGTTTATCTTTGCATACAATCAGACCATCAGGCACAACTAAGTTTTATAATATAATTTACTACAGCAAAATATTTATTATTTCATTAATATTTTTTTTTATTATCCAAAATCGTTTATATCGATGATAACAGATAACAATTATATGCAAGTATTTGAGTAATTGAGAAACAACATTTACGTAATATTTTTTAAAAGCATTGCTTTAGCTTGTTTGCCAATTTAACTGCCAAGCAAAATTATTCCTTTCGATATGACAACAAATATTCAATAAGCTATTTCAATTTCAGCTGGAATACCTTTAATACAAAATGTTACGATTGCACTTATCGATGTTTTAACCCATACCCAAGCGATAATAACGGCAATGCGATTTTGGAAACTTTTGAATTTAAATGCAAAAAACGTTTTTACAATACAATTTCATTAGAATGTAAAATGTTAATAGGATTCCATGTAGTTAATTTTTGAATTAAAGTTCAACCTTTGACGGCGCGTGCACGGAGCATTGTTTTGCAGGCGGCGTTGTGCGTCTTAAGCGGCAGCTCATCTGGAAAGCGGGAGAGGTTTAGGTATTGGTAGCGTTATCCTGTGTGGAGTACTTACAGATCTTGTGCTCGCCCTGCACTGGCAGCAATAGTGGCAACTGTTCCGGTTTGGTGCACACAAACACATAGGGACTGTCGGATTCGCCCTGGGGATAGAGATCACGGTATTCCTCCTGGGGCAAACAGCTCTCCACATTCACACAGCCCAACAGACTACTTGTGGGATAGTGGGTTGGGAACTTCAGATTATCATCTGGAAATGGCAAACGTTACCAATAAATTTGATCTCTGCATGCTTAGCGACCTCACCATTGTACAGCACACGATAAAACTGCTCCATTTGGGCAATGTCATCGGCGTGTGGCTCCTTGGCGGTGGAGGCAATCCATAGACGACCGCGATGCTCGCTGTACCATACGCGGCCTTCGTGCCTGGATAAAAGTAAAGTGATTACAAACATTGTGAAAAGCTTTGAGCACATTTCACGTAATCCGCCAAAGGGCATACTTTTTAATGCCTGCCACCAGGAGGGATGCCCAGGGCTGGTGCATAGACAGGCACTGGCGCATGTCCTGCATTTCGAGCAGCTCCTTATCCTGCACCCGATTGTAGATGCGCTCCAGCCCGTCATTGGCAGGTTGTGCGGGCCACGCTTTTTGCTCCTTGCTCGCCTTGAATACGGGCGGCTTGGCCACACCCAGATTGGGCGCCAGCGCAAGCGCGGAATGACCGGTTAGCGAGCTGCCCTGGTCTATGGCTGCAGCCTTGCTGACAGCAGCCAGCTGGCGCAGCACCTGCTGCTCGTACTCCTTGCTGACCTGCGATTCGTCGGGCAGCTCCCGTCCAGCAAAGTCCACCTTGATCTTGCGCTTCAGCCGGCTGCCGTGCTTCAGTTCTTGCATCTCGCTCTTTAGCTGTTCGTACTTCTCGCGCTCGGCATCGGTTAACCAAACGGAGTTCTCCTGGAAGTAGTCCAGCTCATCATCGATGACGGTCGTGCGCTTCTCGCTGTTCCGGTCGTACTCCAGCAGACGATCGCGCTGTGCCAGCGCCTGCTGCAGCGAGGCTTCCTTGTTGGACTTGCCGGCTGTTGCAATCGGCTGCTTCTTCATCGCCTTGGCCTGGCCCTTATTATTGGCACGCGTGGTCGCTGCGGCCTTCGCCATTTGCTGTTCCTCCTCGGTGGTGTAGACCGGTTCACCGCAGTAGAGGCACGGCCCGCTACCCTCCTGCTCGCACACAATGCGCCCGCAGCCCAGGCAATTGTTGATGAGATTGTGCTCCGCCGCCTGACAGTCGCAGCTGCGTCGCCCCTTCAGCAGAATGGTGTCGCCCATGAGTTTACCATCGCCGGCATACATATTCACAAATTTACCCTGCTTCTTGGCCGCCCCGCCGCCGGCTCGTTGGGCGGGCGGCGCTGTTGTGGTAACGGGCGACTTGTTTTTGGCATTGCTACGTGGTTGCTTGCCGCTGAGTAGCATACGGCGGCAGTTGTGTAGAAACAGGCGATGCTCCTCGATGTCCTCACTCAGCAGATTGCCAAAGTAGTTGTCGAACTCCTGGTCATCTTTGATCGCCAAAATGGTGCTGAATATGAAAACGGACAATTTGATTTAAATTTAAAAAATATTCACTCGGATAACATCTGGGCACACCCACGACATCATTTGATCCGTGACCACACAGTCCAGGCACTTGGATAATGTTTCACTCAGCCACTTTTCCATGATCGCAGCTGGGGGATTGACACACTTTACAAACGTCAGCTCAAAGCAAAACAATAACAAAAGCCTGTACCGACTGCCAATATTGTGTCTATCGATAGAGGAGCTATCGATAAATAATGTACGCAAAAACGCCATAGCGCGTTAACATTTGAATAAAATAGTTGAATTGGCCGAAATCAATAAAAAATATTCAGGCTTTTCGTTAAAACTAACTGTTAATAACACCCGTTATGAAACTAAGCTTATAGTAAAGTAGTAGCATTTAAATGTTAAAAGTTTTTAAGTTGAGCTAAATAGCTGTACATTAAAAACTTGTGAGAGCGCTTGGTGACGTCACTAACTTAAGAGGCTGCCGAATGCATGTTGCGTGAAACGCGTGACAAGAAACAGTGCTGGACAGCGTCTATATGGCCAGATAGAAATTATAAAATCTGGTAACGCCGTGACAACAAAAATATGCGAAATGCAAGTATAAAACAAAATACAATAAATATTCGTGAAAGGAATGGAAACATTTTAAACGCTCTGCCGCTCCCGTTCGTGTTATGTTGCTGTTCCGACTGTGATCTAATGAATATTAAATTAAATATTGTGCGAGTTTAATTGTAATATAAGACAAAGACGCGTTGTTTATTTAATTGGTTTGTGTGCCTGTGTGTGTGCTTGTATGTGTGTTTAAATTGTTGTAAACAACAAATCATAAGTGCCAGGTTATAACAATATCCGTGCTTGTCTTTTTCAAATAGAAAGTGCTGCCGACACAGCAACAATAACTACGGCGACAAAAACAACAGCAACAAAAGTCATTTGCAAAAAAAAAATCAAAGCAGACGTCAACGCTAGCGCTGGCGACGGCAACGGCGGCGTTAGCAGCGGCGGGTACGCCTCAGTCTACGTCCAGACAGTTTTAGCAGCAGAAGCAGCAGAAGCAGCAGCCACCCTCATTCGCATTCGCATTCACATTCGCACAGCTGTAACATTTGTCACACGCCCCTTCGCTTTGGGGAAACTTTTCGCATCTTTGGCGCTCTCCGTACGGTACATTCGCGTTAACGGTATTCTGTAATAACTAGAGCCGCTAATATTGTTGCTGTTGCTGATTACAAATTGCGTGCGTCTCTGCTTGCGAACCTCGCTCGCTCGCACGCTCTCTCTCTATCTCTGTCGCTCGTATAGTTAATCGCCACGCCGTCGTTGTCGTCGTCGCAGTTTGTAAGCGACGGCGCTGCGCTTCGATTTATTTGCTAGTAATTTTTTTTGGATTGTATTTAGTAGTTTTCCGCCTGCGCTTACGTGTCATATGATTTGCCAAAAATAGCCAAGTAATACAAAAAAGAGAAAACAATGACAAAAATGCAGCTGCAGCATTAAAAACTTCTGCCTGCGCCTGCGTCATTGTGTGTATGTGTGCGTGTGTTTCGTTGCTTATGTGCGTGAATGTGTTTTAAAGCCGGCATTACGGTAGTGCGGTCAAACAGCTGGGAAGCAGCTACAAACACACCAAACAACTGCATACAACAATACAAAAGGCGAAAATGTATCGAATCGGTCCAATTGGACGCAAATCCAACTTCCATTCGCGCGAGAAATGTCTGATTGGACTCGTGCTAGCTACTTTGTGCTTCCTCTGCTTTGGCGGCATTTTCCTGCTGCCAGACAACTTTGGCAGCGAGCGCGTGCTGCGCGTCTACAAGCACTTCCAGAAGGCCGGTCCCGAGATCTTTATTCCGGCTCCACCGCTGGCCGCGCATGCGCCGCGCGACGAAGATCCCCACTTTATGGGTGATCGCCAGCGCCTGCAGCAGAAGATCATCGCCGAACTGGGCGACATTTTCGATGAGCCGCAGGCGGCAGCCGATGCGGTTGGACAGGCGCCGTTGCCGGCTGCCCAACAGGAGCAGCCCATGGAACAGGAGGCACCGCCAGAAATGGCAGCTCATCATCGAGTGTCCATGCCAGCATCCGATGACACAACCCTAAACAACAACAACAACCATCTCCATGGCGAACAACAGCTTAAGCTACCAATGGGCATGGGCAGAGAGCTAGCGGCAGAGCATGCTGATGCCGGCATAAAGGAGAAGCGTCTAAAAGTCAAAGAGGTGAGTAAATTCATATGTATGTATGCATGTATGTATTTCGTAATACCGAACAAAAAACTTGTGTGGGGCTTTCTCTGGCTCTCTCCCTCTCTCACTCCCTCACGCGCAGTCTGCTCAGCGCTGATAAGCACAAATTGCGCGGTCTCTCTTTTGCACTAATGGCAGATCTGTTGTATCTCTCGCTTATTAAAATACATTTTTGGCCCGTGCTTCTCTATCAGCGGCGGCGGCCTCGTGTCTTATGCTTCCTCTTCTGCACATTTGTGCACTTCCGCTGTCAG